CCACGCCCAGCAGCAACAAGGAGCAACATGGCACCACAGGGACCTCTTCACCAAGGCATTCAAAATGGACACACATGTATTAAGGTCAAAATCTTTGAAGAAGCCACAGGTAAGTATCTCCACACTCAAAAACTTTCCTATAGATAGAAAGAAACTGATGAATCCCAATCTTTAAGAAACACCCCAACACACTCTGTCAAAAATCGAAAAATTATGCACTCAACTGGGAACTCAACTAGAATAATAGACCATCACATCCCCAGCCAATCCCAACCTCTCAATAACAAATTCGAATCTCTTCAGGAACTTGAGGAAGATGAAGAGATGGAAATTTCGACAAATATTCCTCTGAAACAACAAAACCCTTCCTCTCCCTCACACCAGGACTCTTCGATACATCCAAGAAACCAAGCCACGCCTGAAATGCCACGTGTCTATCAGGTGGCCTCAATCAATAACCATGCAGTACACTTGTATCACTCCATGCATGCACTCAACCCTCAATATCCAGGTGACAAATCGGACACCATGAATTACACATGCACACACTTGTCAATGGACACTGTCCAAATGGCAAAACCTATAGACACAACTAACCAAACGGATGCTATATATTCACACATGCCAACCCCACCCAATCAAACTCATCTTGAATATAATACAAAAGATACACAATCATTCTCCTCACCTTTTCAGCAGCCCTCCAAAAACCTTTTAATAATTAACTCCCAACAATCAAATGCCAAATCTTCTACTACCACTGAACAAAAGGTCTCGACTGGCATTATTAACTCACAAAGTGCCCAGACACTCCTTCCACATTCCAACAATCCAAACAATCCCATGCACAACCCGAATCTAGTTTATGCAACTCAACCACAACACCCGGATCATCAACCTACCTCATGGATCGAGCAGGGACTCCAAGGTCAAGCCTTTTTCTTCTCAATGATGATAGAGGGGCAGGAAGTCATGATAATCATACAAAACCTAAACTTCTTAGCACAAGTAGTGGCAGAGGGGATGAGAATGGCCATGGACAATTACATGAATCATATGTGGATGGGAAACATTCTCGACCCTCTAGCCCCAGTTGTAGCCCCTGCCCTTTACCACACAATGCACAACTATTGGAATCTCCCACAACACTTCAATCCCCTCCTGAACATGAACCAAATGTTCGACCTCCATTTTTTCCCATCACAGGAAGTGACAGAGATGAACCCTCTATTCTTCCCTTGGACACCACAACAAACACAACCTCCCACTCATATGGCCCCTCCAATGGAACAAGGTCCAAATGTTGAACTAGGAAATTCCAGAGGCAGAAAAAATAGTGATACCTCCCCCTCTAGGAAGAAGCTCTTTCACAGAAATATCAACAATAAGAGATATAGCCTTTATGATCTTTCCGGAGAGGAAGGACAAGAAATACATACTACGGTGTCTAGTGGCACTCCAAAAGTGCTCAATAGAGATAACTCCATCAATCAACACCATGACAGCAAAATATGCAGTGCTACTGAATCCAACACTGAGGGGCAGCCCCCTCACGAAGGGAAATAATTATTTCCCTACCCTCCAAAATCACTCTCATCTCATGAATACACCTACTAGCATAATCATTTGAAATGTAAGGGGTGCAAACAATGCAGACTTTAGACGCAACTTTAGGGAACTTGTCAACAACAACAATCCATGCATGGTGGCACTATTGGAGACAAAAATGGACAACCATGCAAGCCTTAGGGTAGATTTCAACTTCTCTGATTATATAGAAAATCCAGTTGTAGGCCGAGCTGGAGGAATGGTGATCATGTGGGTTGACACATTGGTAGCTATGGAGAGAGTTAGGCAAACTAACCAAGAGCTTCATGCACTAGTCCAAGTATTGCCAAATCATAATCCTTGGCTTTTTAGTTCTATTTATGCTAGCAACTCCTTGGTAAATAGATTAGACTTATGGAATAACCTTAAAAACATTTTTTGCAAATTATAAAGGATCCTGGCTGATGGGTGGTGATTTCAACGATGTACTAAATCAAAATTAGAAATGGGGAGGCAGAAGTGTTAACAGAAATAGATCTTCAAATTTTAGGTCTTGTGTCAACCACTGTAACTTAATTGATCTAGGTTTTGCAAATGAGTCCTGGCTAGAACAATACCCTTCAGTGCTAGTTACTCATCTCCCAAAAACATACTCAGATCACAACCCTTTACTACTTAGACTTACAAACACTAGGACATTTACCAAAAAACCTTTTAGTTTAGAAAAATATTGGCTAAGCTACTCGGAGTTTAGTAAAATTGTTGAGAAAATCTGGAATAATAGAAACCTTAATGATGCCCAAACTTCCTTCCAAGATAATGTTAGTGAATGGAGTGCCCAAAATTTTGGTAATATCTTTGCTAATAAGAAGAGATTACTTGCTAGAATTAAGGGTATCCAAAACTCACCTAGCTACACCTTTAGCACCTACCTTAGAAACTTAAAACATAGTCTTATTATTGAGTATAACAATATCCTCCGACTAGAGGAAGATCATTGGAATATTAGATCTCGGATAAACTGGCTCAATGAGGGGACGCAAATACAAAAAATTCACATATCTGTCCTTAACAGGCGAAGGCGTAACAGTATCTCCTTTTTCAAAGATAATTCAGATAACTGGATTATAGATCGCCAAAAAATCATTGAACACACATACCTCTACTTCAAAGACATATTCACCACCAACCATACACTGTCGGAATGGAATACTATCAATAGTGCCTCCAAAAGTTTCTCCAATATAAATCTCTCATCTTTAGATATACCTCTAACCACTCATGAAATCATTTCTGCAATATACTCCTTCAAGCCATACAAGGCCCCGGGGCCGGATGGCATGCACCCAATATTCTATCAACGTCACTGGAATATTGTGGATCCTTCTGCCATACGACTATGCGAAGAAGCTTTCTCCCTATCCAGAATCCCCAGGGAAATAAACCAAACTCTTTTCTGCCTCATTCCCAAATTTAAACATGCAAACAATGTCAATAATTTCAGACCAATAGGCCTTTGCAACACCACTTATAAAATAATCACTAAAATAATTGTCAACAGGATCAAGCCTTTTCTTCCTGAACCAATCAGTCCTTGTCAAGCAAGTTTCTTAAAAGGTAGGAGGGCTTGTAATAATGGAATTATTATACAAGAAGTGATCAACCAATTCAAAAAAAGAAAGGGAGAAATGGTCAATTAATTATTAAAATAGACCTTGAAAAAGCTTTTGATAGGTTAGAATGGTCTTTTGTGTACAAGGCCCTCATTTTCTTTAAATTCCCACCAAAAATTACATCCCTGATCATGAACTGCATAACCACTAGTCAAATAGCTGTCTTAGTCAATGGGGGCCAAACAAATTACTTTGAACCATCGAGAGGGATCAGACAAGGGGATCCACTATCCCCCTATCTGTTCATCCTTACCATGGAATTGCTATCAGTTTACATACATTACCAAGTCGATATTTTCCTATGGAACCCAATCAAAATTGGACCAAAAGGACCCCTAGTATCACATATCTTTTACGCAGACAACTTAACATTCATGGCCCAAGCAAATAGGAAAACAATCAATTCTATTCATCATTCTCTACAATCTTTTGCTCCCTCTCAAGCCACAAAATCAATAACAATAAATCAAAAATTCTATTCTCCGGCAATTGCTCCACTACCCTAAAAGACTACATAATCAGCCTTTTCAATATTAAACAGACCACCCAATTTGAAAAATATTTGGGCTTCCCAATTATCAATAATAGGCCCAAACCATTGGATTTTCAATTTGTAATTGACAACTTGAGAAATAAGCACTCTAGCTGGAAAACAAACTTCCTGACACTTGCAGGACGAGCAACCCTTGCAAAAGCAGCCCTCAATGCTATCCCTAACCACAACATGCAATACATATCCCTCCCAAAGAAAATCCTTCATCAAATTGACAAAATCCAGCGAGATTTTAGTTGGGGGACAACCGCTACTAAAAGAAAGATCCATTAAGTTTTGTGGGATGTTGCAACCCTTCCAAAGGACCTAGGTGGCCTAGGGATACCAAAAGCATGGCATAAAAACCAAGCCATCCTAGCAGGTCTGGCTTGGAGACTATTCACCAACCCATCCACACTGTGGCCAGATACTCTAATCCAGAACAACTGTAACAGGACCAATATCAAGGTCACCTCCTTCATTTGGCAAAATGTCATGAAAGGGTGGGAAACCATCAACAAGGGACTTTCTTGGGATATTGGAAATGGAAAATCCATAAACTTCTACTACGGCTACTGGGCCCCAAACAAAACGAACATCCGCTCAATCATTCATGGTCCTCTAACCAAAAATGAGAGCAACCTGACTCTTGATCAGATCTGGGTGAATAACCAGTGGAACGGGTCAAAATATCATTTGAACTACCCACCAATATTACCTCAGACATCACTCCCAGCCCCCTCACACAAAACCCTCATGCAGTGGACATACCCCTGTGGATGCCAAACACAAATGGCACCTTTACCACCCACTCAATCTACAAATTACTGCACCAACACATCCCAAAAATAACTGACTATGATTGGATCTGGAAACTACACACTCTAAATAAAATCAAATTTTGCCTATGGCGGTGTTTTAAAAATAGGCTGCCCACAAACTCCTACCTTCAGCAAATCAGAGTTACAATGGAGAATACTTGCGCAATTTGTAAGAGAGCAGAAGAAACCATAACTCACATGTTCCTAAAATGTTCTGTAGCCCAGATATTTTGGGAGACTGTAGGCATGAACACTAACAACATCCCTCGCAACAAATACTGGCTTTTATCTATTAAAAACCTCCAAATACCGGTTAACCATAGCTTCATAACCTGGGAGGATGTATTTCCTTTTGCAATATGGCACCTCTGGATAAATAGAAACAATAACTGCTTTCATAATTCTTCAAACACCATAAACTATCACATGGTTAATACACGAGCCATTGAATTTAAGCTATTAGCATCCAACTATAAAGGTACAACACACAAAACTCCGGTACACATCAAGTGGTACCCACCACCATCTCATAAGTACAAACTAAATATTGATGCCTCCATGGATAAACATAACACGGGAGGCATTGGGAGTGTAATTAGAAACAGTGGTGGAGACTGGATTATAGGCTTCTTCAACAGGATCAAAGCCCATAACTCCACACATGCAGAATTGCAAGCACTCCAGGCAGGTTTGAATTTGGCATATGAACAACGATTAGCACCACTGGAGATTGACACTGATTCAACGGATATAATTAAGCTGCTTCAACACAATATATCCCCGTCTATACTAACACTATCTTAGAATGCAGGTACTTATTGAAGAAACTGGGGAATCCAGTGATCCGGCATAGTTTCCGCGAAGGCAACAAGGTGGCACACTTGTTGTGTAAATGGGGTTCCAAGCATCACCTAAGCTCTACAGCTACTATTTTGCACTCACCTCCGGACGCAGCAAAGAAGGCAATCCAAGATGACAAAAATAAAGTTTTAACTACTAGACTAGTATAAAGCTCTATATGTAATATATTAGCAGTACTTGGGAACCTTAGTATTATCCCTGCTATTACTAACAGCGATGTAATGCCCCCCTAACTTTTTATGAATGAATCTATCCCTATTTCCAAAAAAAAAAAACTTGTTAGTACGAACTATTCATATTTTTGAGTTGGAAATAAAATTATTTTTTAATTAATTAAAAGGATAAAAAGTTTCAAAAAAAGTAAAATTGGTAAATTATGAATTTTGAATCCTAAATATTAGTTCATTATATTTTCTTAAATATTGGCATATCCAATTAATTTTTTTTCCTTTTTTAAATTTTGAAGGATTTTACAAAAGAGGTTTACTTTGCTTTGAACGATAATGTTAGTAGTTTTGATTTAGTTAAGTTATTACATGTCGGTTGAAGTCTAAATGTAAAGACTTACCCAATTCAAATAAGGAACGAATAGAATAATTTTTTTTAGTTAATTTTGAAAGTCTAAGCATTAGGGAAACAATTAAATAATTATTTTGTTTAGTGTGAAATCAATTTTTAGAGGGTATAAAAGTCGAACAATAATTCACTAAGGGCATAGTATAGAAATAGATATGGAACGATTTTCCTAACGTTTCTATACATATGTATAATTGATTTAAAGTTCACGAGGGAATAGCTTATTTATTTTTGAAGGGTATTATTGTTACTTTATTTTATATAGTTATTTTAGTCTTTAAATTTTATACTAAAGGCATCAAAATCATAAAATAGTACTCCCTCCGGTCCATTTTAAGTAATTTTTTACCTCTTTTCACACATATTACGGAATTAATCTTTTGACATTAATTTAAATGAGATTGATCATATTAACCTTAATTACTCATTGAAAATATAACAAACTACTCCTAGACTCTTTACTCCAAGGACAACTTTGGAAAGAAGAATTTAATTCCCTCTTGATATCTGAAAAAATCAAATATTGTAGACCACAAAAAAAATTAAAAAATTACTTAAAGTGGACAAGGGAGAGTATATTGTCACGCCCCAAAACCGAGGGGCTCGACCGGGCAGCCCCAGCCAAGCGGACCTGGGTGCCTTTCCTATTCCACGTGTTACCCCGCGTTTCCATTTCCCATTAACCAAGTGAAATAGCCATTTATAAATTTAAACACATTCTTACGAGATTTACATAGCATACATAGTTACTTAGCGTGGTTTACAAGNTCCCAAGAATCATACCCCAATAATCCACCTCACAATCTCTACAATACCAACACAACCTAGGTTAGGCACCTATGACTTTCAATCCCCATCCCATGAGTTACAATACTTAATCCATACTCATATTTCCATAATAACTCCATATATGTAAGTCTAAGGTGTGGGATTACCTCTTGTAGACCAAATCTTGAAAGACAAATTTGGGGTGTTCTTAAGAATTTGAAGAAACCCTATGAAACCCAATCAAAATCATGTAGTAACTAGAGATTGAGAAGTGAAATCACCATGAAAACACACTTAAAAACTCACCTTAGGTGTGCAGTTGGATGCCTTGGTCGGGTTGGGGGTGTAGAGGAAGACCTAAGCTTGAGAAATGACTCAAATTCTCTTATTTCCGGTCTTTAGGATATTTACAAACCTTACAGGCGCGCGAGCTAGCGCTATGTTCGCGCGCGGGAGGCAGAATACTCAGCATAATGCGCGACTTCGAGCTAATGTTCGCTCTAGAGACACATTCCCAGTAAAATGGTCATAACTTTCCGTATACATCTCCAAATGACAAACGGTCTGTTGTGTTGAAAACTAGACTCAAAGGGCTTTAATTTGATAGGTTATTCATCACACAACTCCTTATATATCTGGAGATATGATCGTTCAAAGTGAGGTCTTGTGCGCACTCATTTACAGATTTCGTCTAATATTAAACTTTTCTAACTTGGCTTAGACTTAGGCCTCTCCTTAGACTCCAATTCATCTCTACTATGACTTATGCACTTCTTAACATATCCAATTGATATCCATAATATCCTTAATCCTCATTTGCACGCAAGATAAAATATTTGGCCTATCTTGGCACCACAAAATCTTAAATTACTAAGCAAATATTATTTTTTCTGGGACTTTACATATATGATATATAAATATATATATATAACACATACTACGTGAATGTAGTATGATAATCATATCTGCATTTTTCAATTTCCTTAAGTGTGCATGCCACCTAATAAGCACTTGGGGGCGGTTGGTAGGGTATATAAGAATAGTGGGGAATAAGGTGTAGTAGTAATATATGGATTAGTAATGCAAGCATTAGTTATGCAGATATTATTTCTTATTTATTATTTGGTGTGGTGTATTAAAATTATAATGCATTGCATTATTTTTAAGAAAAATAGTTATTTACAAAAATGTCCTCCATATTTTCTAGTTTTAAGGGACTTTAAGGACAATTTTATCTTTAATTATACTAATGCATACATTAATAGCTTTGGTATTGCTAATGCCATAGTTTTTTTATGCATTACTTATACATACAAGTACGATGACTAATACAAGTATTAGTTATACATAGGTTGAAAAACTATACCAAATAAACTATTAGTAATGCATAAAGATAATGCTTGCATTATTTTTTCTAATACCTCCTACCAAACAACCCCTTAGTCTTTCTTGTCTTTTCCTCTAAATTTTCCCAACTTTTACCCTCCCGTTAAATCGTGTTATTCACTGTACATACTTGGCTGGAAAAAGGGAACAAGTACTAAGTAGCCATTGCTCTTCTGTGAAATTTTAAGGTTGTTTTTTTAATTTTCTCTTTTTTCCTACGTTGAGTAGCGCATAATGGAGGTAAGGATATAGTATTTTTTATTTGTGGATCAAATTTTAAGGTTAAAAATACTTTATACTTTTGAAATAAAGGTGCCCAACTATTACGGAATTTTTGGTGCCCAACTATTAAGGAATTTTTAGTTTTATATTTGCTTTGTGCCTTCCGATATGCTTCTTGCGTTTTGATTTATAGTGCAGATTTATAGTTTTAGTGAATTAATTCTATAGTTGGATTACGTAATATATTGACAAAATTATTTCTTTTGATGGGTTTAGAAAACACATGTTTTTAACCGTATCAGTAATTCAACAATAGGAGTTTCAAAAGGCCATTGTCCATGTGGTGATATTGGGTGCTTTATTAATGGAGATACAGTTATAGGAACTACCGTTAGTAATCTGTATTTGTAAAATAATTCTGGAAACAGTAATAATGAAAAACAGAAATGTAGAAGAAACAGAAATTAATTCGAGTCCCATGAATTCACGGTGTTTCCTTAAGGAACTTAATCCCCTCCTAGTACACGAGGTTTAGGATCATTTTCTCCCATAATAGAATGGACTACACACTGGTGTAGCGATACTTTAAACCTTAGTATACAACGAACACAAATGGCAGCAGTGTATCACACTTTATTTGTTTTGTAAAAAGACAATGTAGAAAGGAAAAAGAGATTTCATAATTTTAGTAAGAAAAACCTAAGGAAATTGCTTGGCGTTTATAGCCATTAAGTTGGGTTCATCAACCGAAGAGGTGCAACTCTTCAAGATGGCCTTTCACGTAAAATGACTATAACGAAAATGGCCATTTACGCAAAATAAATCTGAAAAATAAAATCGGAGGAAAACTAGACTCGAAGGGCCTTAATTTGATAGGTTATGCATCACACAACTCCTAGAGACACCTTCCCAGTAAAATGGTCATAACTTTCCGTATACACCTCAAAATGACGAACAGTTTATTGCGTTGGAAACTAGACTCGAAGGACTTTAATTTGATAGGTTATGCATCACACAACTCCTTATATAGCTGGAGATATGATCGTTCAAAGTGAGGTCTTGTGCGCACTCATTTACAGATTTCGTCTAATATGAAACTTTTCTAACTTGGCTTAGACTTAGGCCTCTCCTTAGACCACAATTCACCTCTAATATGAATTATACACTTCTTAACATATCCAATTGATATCCTTAATCCTCATTTGCACCCAAGATAAAATATTGGCCTACCTTGGCACCACGAAATCTTAAATTACTAAGCAAATTTTTTTTTTCTGGGGCTTTACATTCTCCCCCGCTTAAGATCATTCGTCCTTGAATGAGGATCAAGTTTCATCCATTAGCCATCCTTATGTAACTTCTGCTTTTTCACATTATGAAATATATCATCAGCCCCAAATTTGGCTAACTCCTTAAATTTCCGAGAATTTCGCTAGAGTTTCCTTTGTAACTAGGACTATCCACCTGTCAGAGGGCCCCAGATTCATATCCTAACAGTATATACATGTTCCATAGACATAACATAACTTGTTCAACACCAACTATGGCCGCATAGGCAATATACATAGTCAAAATGGAATAGTTTAACATAGATCAAATCAAAAGATAAGAGTTTACAGGAACCAAATGCATGAAAGCTATTACATAACTATTCAAACAAATGTGGGTACTTCTTTCTCATTTCTTCCTCGGCTTCCCAAGTGGCTTCCTCAACCTGCTGGTTCCGCCATAACATTTTTACAGAGGCAATTTCCTTAGTTCTCAATTTCCGGACTTGCCTATCAAGAATGGCAACTGGAATTTCTTCATAAGATAGTTCTTCATTAACCTCAATAGCTTCAATTGGCACAATAACGGACGGATCTCCCACTACCTTCTTCAACATAGACATATGGAAGACCGGATGTACCAACGACATCTCGGGTGGCAGTTCGAGCTTGTATGCCACTTAACCGATCCCCTAAATGATTCTGTATGGTCCGACATACCTT